TGGCGCAAAATCCGAAAGCGCAGCCAGCTGCGCCCCTCTTCCTCTGCCAGCCAGCCCCTCCGACGCTGGAGCCCGCCGTGCCTCAATTTCGAGGAGATGTCCTCCCTGCCCTCAAGCCCACAGCGCCCCGGCCTTAATCGCTGCTCCCCGCTGCCCCGTTCAAAGCCAGCGCGCCAAGCACAGGCAATGTCGATGGACCAGGGCAGCTAGCGGCAGCGGCAGCGCACATAGCAGCAGCGGCGGTCACATCCCCAGCAGCGGTGGCATTTCTTGCCCCAATTGCCACCAATGTTGCGTCCCACTGATTGAACAAGGCGTGGGACGCACAGCAGGCAGCAAACATGCAGCAAGGCCCAGCCATTGGCAAGCAGGACGAGCGTGCGCCAGCTCAAGAGAAGCAGCAGCCGGAAGCGGCCACCCAGCCGCAGCCGGATTTGGTGCCAAGGAGCGAGCTGGAGGCGGCGGAGGCGAAGTGGGAGGCGGAGAAGCGCGAGGTCGTGCGTGAGCTGCAGGAGAACAAGGAGCTGCTGGCGGACTCCACGTCCAAGTGCAATTTCTTAGAGGGTGCGCTGCAGGAGTCACGGCTGCAAGTTGCCCAGCTGTCGAAGCTGCTGGTGGCGCAGGAGCGCACGGCGCCGAAGGTGAGGCTGCCTGGCTAATGCCAGCGAGGGGCTGGGTGGTTTGGTGTAGTATGGACAGTGCAGAAGCAGTTGGCAATGCTTCAGCTGGCTCCCTATGTGGGAGCTGACCTATTTGCCTCCACCTACCTGTAGTGATCTGGACGTGCAACGGGATCCCGACAACTCTTCGGCCCTAGCAAGCCTCGCAATAGATGCCTTGCCATCACATGGCGCCATTGCCTCGATGCGCAGCACAGCGTCAAGATACAATGTCTACCGATCTATCTTAACGGTTTGTGTACGACCCCATTCTTTCTGTGTACGACCCCATCCCAATTCTTCATACCTTATTCTGGCGCAGCAGCAGCGATGTTGCCTGACAGAGCGTGATATTATCAAAATCTACACAAGTTTTTCTCTGCTATTAGGAAACATCATTGTTTGAATCTCCGTTCATCTCCTATTTTTTCTGACGCTGCCAGCGACAATGTGCGGCTTCGTCCCAGCACCCTTTCATAGCCGTACCCCTGTGATACCTGCGCTTTGCTCTTTATGTATGCGTTTTATTTGAATCGGTCCATGTTCCACCTCGCCGATCAGCTCAGCAAGCAGGTCTACCAGCACACCCCGTGCAGCAACAATCAATCGCCAGCAATGAGTGCGCTGTTGGTTGGCTGGGATGTTTTGGTAGGCTCAGCACGTCCTGGCTTCAGCTCGTTTTGACCGACCAGCCGTGTAGGAAAGCTGGTGGAGCAGCGTCTTGCCGGTCCCGCCACGACTGACGGCAGCACGCGCAGCAGCAGCCAGGTCGGCAGCAGCAGAAGGGAGGCAGGCAGGTACTTTGTTGAAGACCTCAGCAGGCAACCGTGTCCAGCAGGGCGGTGACACGATCAGTTTCATAGGGGCTGGCAGGGCAGGACAATGCCGGACGACCTGGCGGCAGCTTTTGCGGCATTGTGGCGTCACTCGGCGCTGCCCCCGCTGATGCAGGCCGGGGTGATGGAGTCAGCGGGGGTGCTTCGGCACTATGTGCTATTGCATGACGCAGCCAGCCAGGGGCCCGAGGTGTTAGTGGCGGCGCAAGAGAAGCTGCACCAGCTGGGCAGCACCCTGGGCACCAGTTGCCAGGTTCTCAGCATCAACAGTGGCAGCGGCGGCGGCTCACCGGTGGGCCCCCGGCTCTGGGCCGACATGCTGCACGGCTGCCTGCCGGATGGTGGCGGCGGTGAGCCCGCAGAGCGCCCCCCGGTGCCGCCTGGCGGTCTGGGTGCCTGGCTGAGCGAGGCCGATATGTCTGGCCTGGCTGGCTTTGTACACGAGCTGGCGGTGCGCTCCATCCTGCCGCACATGGAGATGCGGCTGCGGGCACTCAATGTGCAGGTGCGGCGGTGGGCATCGCAGCGACAGTTTGCCTGTCTCGGCCTGTTGCGCCCTCAGCGCTGCCCCGCACACTCGCTTGTCCTGCCCCTACTGTGCCGACCCATAGGTAACTGCCAACCGCAAAGGTCTGAAGAACCAGCTGAAGAGCTTGCTCTGGCGCAAGGGCGCTTTGGACAGTGCGTCCACCCCTGGCACACCCTCCGCCAGTGGCGGCGCTGCCGGCGCTGCCGGCGTCTCGTACGCCGGCGGCTCGGTGGAGAGCCACATGCGCCAGCTGAGCGACCTGGCGCTTATGCTGGGCGACTACGATACTGCCTCCAGTACGCTTCGCCTGCTGGCCAGCGACACCAAGGCTGACCGCGCGTACAAGGCATACGCAGGGGTGCAGGAGGCGCTGGGTGCGGCGGCGGTGCTGGCGGGGGCGCCGCCCTCTGATGCCATGGCCTCCTACAAAGAAGCGCTGCACCGCTACGCGCAGGTTGGTGGGGAGCCAAGGGTGCTGCGCATGGCAGTCAGGCACTGCAGTCACCTTGCACATGGCCAGGCCGCTCATGCTGCCACTCTGGTGCCGCCCTGCCTGCCTGCCCCGCCCCGCCCTGCAGCTGAGCCAAGCCAATCCGCGCAACCGGGAGGGTGCGCGGTATGCCACGCGGTCTGTGCTTCTGTTGGCAGCATACTTGCAGGCATTAGGCCAGTGGGGATCCTCAG